GAACAAAAAAAAATAATGATTGAAACTTAAGGGGGACATAACTGGATGGAGAATACGAAACCCCCGTCCCCACTGGCTCCGTCCTCACCCTCCATTGGCTGTGTCCTTGAATATAAAGAAACCGGACGGGGCGAGTAGGGAAATGAGGCGAAGCTGATCTAAATGTGCAGCCGGTGCTGGCCCGCCCCTGGGCGGCCCATCCCAGGCCCCCCGCCCCCGCGCCCCCCGCAGTCCTCCCGAGCCCGCGGGAGCTCAGCACAGCCCTGTCCAGATCCAGTTCCTCTCGTGCTGCCCTCAGCTCTCCTCTGTTTCGCGTTCTTGCCAAATCCTCGCCAATTATTTCATTTTCACTCGTTTTTTTCTTTTCTATTTTCCCACTTTTCTCACACTCTGTCTTCTCCCTAAGACGAATATCTCCTGTGCCCCTTGTCCCTGTCTGTCTTCTCCCTGGCTGTGTCTCTCTCTGTGTTTCTCCTTCGTCTTTTCCATTTCCGTCTAGTCTGATGTGTCTGTCTCTACCCCCCTCCCAGATCCAGACACACAAACACTCCTCCCTCCTTCCTCCCTATCACCGTAGGACCCTCCCCCGCCCCGTTAATTCCTTCCATCTGCAGAATCGCTTTGCCGGGCGGCTCTGCCAAGGGGGGCCCGGGTTCCTGCCCCAGGAAGGACTCCCCGCCCCTTCCCTCGCCTTCTCCCACCCCCTCTTTCTCTCCTGTTTCTCCTCTGGACCAACCTTGCTTCTCCCTCTACCCCCCACCCCCCCACCCCCATTTCGAGGTGCCCTGCGAGTTGCCAAAACACCAGATGGGTCCGAGGGAGCTCAGAAGACGACTGCCACCACCACCCCAGACAACCCAGCTAGTCCAAGTTTGCCCCCCCCCCTCCCCCGCCCCAGCTCCCACTGACTCACCTGAAAGCCCTGCGGCCCGCTCGCTCCGGGTAACCAGCTGCACAAGCGCTGCCCCAGCGCCAGATTCTGGCTTAGAAGCTCCTGGAGGGGACCCGAGTCACCTCTCCCACCTGAAACCCGGTGCCATTCTGCCAGCGTCCAAGTGCCAGCTCTGCCATCTTCCAGCTAAGTAACCCAGGCCTGGCCCCTAACCTCCAAGAGTGAACCTGTAAATTGGGGACAGTCACCGTCTGCCTCGAGATGTTCGTGAGTTTACCAGTTTGAGCTTGGTAATCAGAAGGTATGCCACAAAGGTCAGCTCCCTGCCGCCCCTACGGGGATTTCTCCCACAACCTGCATCCATCCACCCCGGTGGGTGCTTGGGCCCCAAAAGAACTTCAGTGATGGCCAATGAAGCTCGTTCCCACCATGTCACTAACCAAGAACCCCTTTGGTTTTTTTCTATCTTATTTGATCTTATTTTTAAGATTTTGTGTATCAACTGATTTGCAATTACTGATAGAAACCATGATACTCATAAGTAATTTCATTTATCAGAGAAACACCTAAACAATACCCTTTATTTTTAAAAACAGTATTAAACCTATTTGTTTAAAGAGAAGGTACACATTTGTTAGGAATGTGTGTGATAACCATTTTACTCCTGACAATATTGGGGCTCATCTCTGGAACTCTGCTGCTATATTTGAGGTTTGGTGGTAGAGTTTGGAACCACTGATCTAGGCTTTCCCTGGATTTTATAGAGAAAACTACTGTTCAGAGAGGGGTCATCTTCCAATTGTACGAGCAAGTAGTTGGGGAGCCCAGAGGAGCCCCTGAGGCACCCACCTCCAGCTAGAGCAGTGGTTCTCAACCTGTGGGTTGCGACCCCTTTGGGGGTTGAACGACCCTTTCACAGGGGTCGCCTAAGACCATCGGAAAACACATATATAATTACATATTGTTTTTGTGATTAATCACTATGCTTTAATTATGTTCAATTTGTAACAATGAAAATACATCCTGCATATCAGATATTTACATGACAATTCATAACAGTAGCAAAATTACAGTTATGAAGTAGCAACGAAAATAATTTTATGGTTGGGGGTCACCATAACATGAGGAACTGTATTAAAGGGTCGAGGCATTAGGAAGGTTGAGAACCACTGAGCTAGAGCTTTCTGTTTCTGCCTCCCACTCTCTGGGCCAGGGTAGTCTTGTTAGTTTGAAGGTAGTCCTATTCAAATTCAAATTGCTTTAGGGGTCAGGCAGATACCACCAGGTATCAGGCAGTAAATAGGTAGTGATGGAGCTTGTGAACTAAAGAGCTAGCCACACAAAACCCTCTATCATGGTGCTCAGCCTGGGTCTGGCACCTGCTTAGAGAGACACGTGTCCGGGGTTCCCTGTCCTTCAGAGTGACTTGATGCTGTGAGGTTGCTTGTCATGCCTGGTGACCTGACTGATGCCCTCTGTCCCTTTCGCACACACACCCCAACCCCCACCTCCACACAAGGCCTGGTGCATACATAGTAAATAATCCAAAACTGTTTGCTGGGTCGGTGGTTAAAGAGCCCATGGAGAGACGGTCAGATTATGCTCCCCTTTGAAGACTGAATGGCTCCCTTGGTTTTGTACTTTTCTCTCTCCCCTTGCCCACGGAACACCTGCTTAGCACGTGGGCTCTGTACTCAGTGGGCGATCAATAAATTTGAGCAACTGACAGGCAGTTCGCCTGGATAGCAGCTGATTGACCTGAGGTCAGCTCCTCAGCTGGCCTCTCAGGATCCCCTGAGACAGCACCTCCTGTAGGGTGGGGGCAGGGTGATGGGTGAGGGTGGCCCAATGGGCATCAGAGGCCTGGGTACTAGGCCCAGAAGAGTGGGCTATAACCATGCCTTCACTTGCAGAGGTGGAGGCACCATGGCCAGAGAAGGAAAGGGACTTGTTGAGGCTCACCCAGGACGCCTAGTGGCTAAGCCACCTGCTGTAACCCACTCCACATCCTAACTCCAGTCTGGTCCTGGTCTGGCCGTCTCCTGTGTGGCAGCACTGTCCTCAGAACTGCAGGTGGGAGGGAACTCCCAGGTGAGGCTTGAGCCCCTGCCCCTTTCCTGGTGCCTCTGCCCAGCCCATGGGCTCCAGAATGGGACAGTGGAGAGAAGACAGGATTTGGAGAAAAGAAATCTGGCTGAGTGGCCTTAGGCAAGTGCCTGCCCTCTCTGGAAACCTCAGCTCTCTCAGTGACTGATGGGGTCAGAGGAGGATGTGAACAGGAAGGCAGTTTGCTAGCTGTGAATAAGCAATCCCATGGCAGTAAATAATCACAGGGCAGCATTAATAATTTCAATAAGAGTAACATTCCATTTATCTAGAGTGGTGGTTGGGAGGAGGGGGGTGCATGTAAGGAAGTGTCTGCCCCTGAAGTGGCCCAGGTAACAGGTCTGATAGGTGTTGGGTGGAGTTTCAAACCAAGAGCTTTGAATTCAGAGAAGCAGGAAGAACTTCAGAAAGAAGAGCAAGCGGGTCTTCATGGGGGAATCAGCTTTCCGTTTGGGCTTGAAAGGCAGGCAGAGATGAGCAGAAGGGGGGGCTTCTCTAAAACACGTCTCACAGTGACTCATAACACAAAGCAACCCCTAACCCTCTTGAACTTGCCCGCACTCCATGCCTCAGGAATAAACAGCGAAGAACACACCGGGAGGCAGAGGTTCCCGCTCCTCTGGCCAGAACTGGGCCCTGGGCTCCTTTGGGCTGTGTGTTGACACAGAAGGTGTCAGTTTACAGCAGTGATAGCAAAATGGCAAATCCTCTCCCTGCAGGAGCCACTGCCCGTCTCCGACCCAGGACACAAATCACCGGGTGCAGAGCCCCTTCCCAGGCGACTTCACATTCCTTCCCAACACGGCCATCTGTGTTGCTGCTAAGGGTGGAATGACCCAGTGGATGAAAACAATTTACCATCCTGGACTTATATCCGCCCTTCCAGGACCCTTTCTAACCTATACGGTGACTTTGTGCAGATTAGAAAAGAGGTTGTCTTCAACTGCAGGGGGCTCAAATCTTGTACAGAAGGCACCTTTGCGGCCCCATTGTTGCCTGGGCATATGATTTCAGCCTGATTGCAGCACCACTAACCCCAGATATCTTTGTGCGGTGCTATGATGGTAAAACCTTAGGGACAACCTGATCGCTCCAGTCCCACCCCCAGACTCTTGACCATAAGAGAAGCACAAAAGGTGGCGAGACCCATGAATCTTAAACTCCATACAGGCGCTGAGTTGTGGAAAGTGCCTGGGCTCTTGGAGACGTCCCCTTCCTAGCTGTGTGACATTGGCACGTTGAGTATCCTCTACTGGACAGTTTGCTCATGTGTAAAATGTTTCCATGGTTGCTTGCATCCCAGGACACAGGAAGGCATGGACACTCAGAAGGCCCCGGCATCTGGAAGGCCCTTGCAGAGTGTTTGCTTGTTTTCAAGGCTGGACACTGTGAGGTGGGCATGAGCGGTGTCAGCTTGGATGTCAGAAGCCCAGGGTCCTTCGCCCAGCCCTTTAGGCATGGCCCAGGGCAAGCTGGCAGGAGCCCCTGGACCTCAGATTCCTAGAAGTCACAGAAATAGGCCTAGCAGCATTCCCTCCCACCCTCGGTGCTCCCCAAGGAACAGCCCTCAGAAAAGTGACAGGGCGGCGATGGGCCCTTTCTCACGTAGGAGCTGTGGGGAGAAATGACTTTCCTCCTCTCTTCCAATTTCATATCCACTTTGCTCAAAAAGTAAAAATAAAACAAAAAAAAAGCAACAACAAACCATATACTAGATTTTATCAACAGCTTCAACCTGTGGAGAAAACCCAGGCCTTCGGGG